GTTCTGTTTTATTACAGAGTGTGACTGAGATATTTCACTCAACATAATGTTTTCTATAGTCACCCGTTTTGTATATTTCATTTGTTCATTGTTTTTCAGTGCTGCATAATATTCCATTGTGTGAATATACCACAACTTCTCTAGCCATTAGTTTACTGATGGACAACTGGGTTGTTTCTAACTCTTTACTATTGTAAACAAAGTAGCAATAAACATAGGTGTGCATATACCTGCTTGGGTGGTAGTTATGGTTTCTTTAGGGTATATTCCCAGTAGTGGAACTGCTGGGTCAAATGGTATTTCTATTTGCAACTTTTTGAGAAAGCACCATACTGCCTTCCACAGTGGCTGCACCATTTTATACTCCCACCAACAGTGAATAAGAGCTCTCACTTTGAGGGCTAGGCTGCAATCACAATGTGAGAAAGAAAACAATTCCAGCCCCAGCTGAGCGAATGAGGGAGTCCAGCTGCAGCCCTGGTGTCCCCAGCCCCCTCCTGACAACTCTGACTGCTAACCAAGAGAAGGGAGGATCCTGCTGACAGCAGGATGTTCCCACCTCCTTCTGCCACAACCCATTCACAGAGGGGCCTCAGGAGCACACGTGCCAGGTCCTAACAAGGCAACTATTTTTATCTCCTTCCACTTTACAGATTATGCAGCCAATTCCAAAACTTCATTTCCGGGCCCCCCCCCCCTTGCAGCTCAAGTCTTACTAGTTTAGAAACGACGTTTTCACTCTCTTCTCCCTTGTACTGCCATCTATGCAAATTTTCGGCAAATTTTCCCCTAAACTATTCCACCCACTTCACCCTGCCCCCCAAAGCACACAAATCCTAAGAATTAAGCACTAATTGACTTTAGGGAGCTCTGGTGGTCTAGTGGTAAGGAACTGTACTGCCAACCCAAAGGCATGTGGTTTGAATCAGCCAGCTGCTTCACAATAGAAAGACATACAATCAACTCCCGTGTGATTTACTGCCTATGAAAACCCACTGGAGGGTCAGTTGAGTTTATGAGTCAGTCCTGACTCAATGGTACACACAACAATGACTCCATAATAACTATATGTGGCTACACTTCTAAGAAAGGAGCCCTGGTGTTGTAGTGTGTTACATGCAGAGCAGCTATCCCAAAGCTCAGCAGTTCAAATCTGCTAGCAGCTCTGCTGGACAAAAATAAGTAGTAGTTTTCCTCCTATAAAGACTTACAGTCTTGAAAACCTGCGAAGAGGCTCACTGGGAGCTCGAATTGTCTCAACAGAGGATTTGGCTTTGGTTTATACTTACAAGTAGGAGCCCTAGAGGCACAGTGTTTAAGTATTAACTGAAAATGGTCAGGCTACTCGCAGAAAGGTCCGTGGTTGAAACCAATCCGTTTACCCAGCAGGAGGAAGGCTGGTTCTGTAAAGACCACAGCTTTGGAAACTCTACAGAGCAGTTCTACTCTGTCACCTGGTGTCACTATAAGCCACTATCAACTGGATGCCAATGGGTTTCCTATACCTACATGTACAGACCCATTTTACAGCGATAAGTGAGGTTCTGTGCCCAAAATGAGAGTCACCTTTCCAATAAAAGAACCTGCCTTAGAACTGTATCTCCCCACCCTCAGACTGCTGACGTTACACCAGAAGACAAGAAAATACTATGCAATTTATCACAAAACCAATCAACCGCCCACAGACAGGAAAGTAATGTTGGTTAAAGTGGGTACTTCATCACATGCTGTTCAAGAAAGGGAAATTAGCTAAAAATCTGTTTTGACCTGGGGAAGGCTAATTTTGCTCAGCAGGAGAAAAACAAAGAAGACAACATAAAAATACAAAGGTGAAGAGACATTCCCTAATTTTTAAATGGAGAAAGCCAACTAAACCCAAGTTCCTTGCTTAGATTCTAACTCAGAGTGACCCTATATGTTAGAGTATGTAAATGCTCCATAGGATTTTCTGGGATGTAAACTTTGGAAAACTAAATCATCAGGCCTTGAGCCCAGCACATATTCTTTATATCATCCAGGGACCTTTTAAATAGAGAAAATTCAAATTCATTCCCATCAAGTCAGAACTAACTCATTATTGACCCTCCAACGAGAGGCTGTAAATGGCATGGGAGGAGACTGCCCATCTTTCTCCCATAACTAGTGGATTTGAACAGCCCACCTTTAGGCTGGCAGTGCAACTCTTTATCCCCTAGGTTACCAGAGTTCCTTTTTAAAAGGAGAGTGGAAAAGAATTTCTAACAATGTGACTGTATTTACAGTGATTCATATTCCACTAAAGTTAAGACCTCACTCTTTGTCCCCTGATCAGTGCCTGGAATGCTAGAAGATCTGGGAAGATCATTCTTAATTAGCCTGTGACAGGTCCCCTAAAAGAAAGCACTGGGAAGAGTGTGACTGGATGATTTCAGGACAAATGGAAGCCAAATGATAGGTAGTCAGTCCACTGAGGAGAAGAAAATTCTCTCTTTTCTTTGGGTGAAGTACTCCACTCCTGAGGCCAATTAATCCATCTGGATGGAGACTGACTATCAGAAAACTCAACACCCCATCAATAAGGCAGGTCCCTGCCTGTCTGTGTCCACCACAGTTCCCCACCCTCTCATATTATCCTGTCCTCTCCACTCCCGTCATGATGATTCCAACAGGACAGGGCACACGGCCCCATTAGCCCAATCTGACTCCTTCCTTGGGACTGTCTAACGGAAGCTGGGGAACACTCTTGGATAATGAGAATGCAAAAACCAGAAGCAATGGTTCCAGTCTGGTAAAGACAGCTGGCCTGAGAGAATAAAGCTGACAGAGAAGGAGAAACAAATGAGAGTGAGAGTGCTAACAACATCTTTTATAAGTGCATTTTAATTGAAGTATAAGACTTAATGGCATTTGACTCCCTGGACACAATTATCCTGAAGGCCAGCTGCATTCCACATCCCCCTAAGGTTTGGGCGGCTGAGCCAAATAAAGATAAGAAAATCTCCTTCACTGGTGATGCTAATTGGAGTTGGGGCCATCAGTAAGGCCCAAGAATTCAAATACCCAGTGATTCTTACCATCAGTTGGCACCAAATCACATTAAGTAGGAGACACAGTGCTGTGGAAGGAGCCCTGCTGGCACGGTGGTCAAAGTACTCTGGTGCTAACTGAAAGGTGAGCAGTTCAAACCTATCAGCTGCTCTGCAGGAGAAAAATGAGGCCATCTGCTTCTGTAAAGACCTGCAGCCTTGAGAATTCGATGAAGTGGTTCTATGCTGTCCTATAGGCCAACATGAGTAGAAGATGATCTGACGGCTGTAGTTTGGTTTGATGTCCAATCGGCAGGACTTTCTTCTGTATAGGTGCCACTATATGGGCTTGAACTGCCAGCCCTGAGGTTAACAGATGAGTGCAAGCTGTCTGCTCCACCCTAGCATGCCCGTTAGTGCCATGAGGCTCTTTTTCTAGCCACTTCCTGTCTGTTTCCCTGTTTGCTGATGCGAGGCTCCAGTCAGATGTCTTTCTCTGTTCATATATGTATGTCTTACTACCCTTCACCAAACAGCTCTAGTAGCACAGTCCTTGGCACACTGAACTGCTAAGCAAAAGGCCTTCTATCTCCAGTGGTTTGACTCCAACAGCAGCTCCAAAGGCGAAAGACAAACAGGCTCCACCCATTAAGATTTACAAACTCAGAAATCCAACAGAAGGCTGTGAGGAGTCAGAATTCACTCAGTAAAAGTGAAGTAAGTTTGCTGACCATGCTTGAAGGCTTCTGGTTAGTTCTGGATCTTGTGAGAGGAGGGCAGGGAGAGGGCTGCCTAACTCAAAAGTATCCCCTTAATTACCTCCCTTCACCTACAGCAGGGAAGCCAGCAAATATGAATTACTGTGTATGTAAGCTGTATGAGTATACTCAGGGGCTTGGGCTAAAGGATCAGGTACATGAATTACTATGTAAGGTGTATGGATATACTGAAGGACGTGGGCTAAGAAGATCAGGTTTCCTCTGGAACCATTCTAACTAGGAGCGAAAGGGTGGCCATCTTCTCCTGTCCCTTTGACAGAGAAGCAGAGGAAGCTGGGCTGAATATAGAGTGAGCAGCATGTAGTCTGTGTGCAGACACCTCAACAGCCTTCCCACCCCCGTCCCATCCCTTCTGAGCCCTACCTACATTTGGGATCCCTGAGGCCCCTGGATCTTGAAGTGGAAGTCCTCTGCTCTATTTCTGCTGACTTAAGGTGGTTTCCGCTACTTCCAACCAACAGTCCTCACTGAGACAAAAAGCTCAGCTCCCACTTCCTTCTTGAAAAGTCTCCTCTGACCACTGTCCACCCATAAGGCTTCCCTTCCTTGGAACCCCGGAGTTCTTACTATGGACGTCACCTGCCTCAGTAGTAGAATATTCTACTTTCTTTTCATTTTCCCCTGAACATTTCCAAACACTTAGAAACCTGTGCCCATGCCTCAGAGTCAACAATTATCTTCTCATTGCCAGTCTTGTTTCATCTAGAATGCCTAGCACTGGAGATGGGGGTGGTGGCAATGAAGGTGTAAGAGGTGGGGTGGTGGCAGTGCAGGTGCTGGTGGGGAGGGTTGCAGGTGGAGGTGATGATGGAGGTAGAGTGGTGGAGGTGGTGGTGAAGGTGGTGTAGCAGAGGTGATGGTGGTGGTAGTGGTGACAGTGGAGGTGGCGGCAGTGATGGTAGAGATGGTAGTGATGGTGCAAGTGGTGGTGGATATTTTAAGGCAAATTCGAACCTCATGTCAAGTGACTAGCAAATGTCTGATTAGTCTCTAAAGCATAATCTTTCTCCTCTAATTAGGATTAGAAGTTTTAGGAGGTCAAAGAGTATTTTCTCCTTCTTAGGAGCCCAGGAGTATATAGGTTCAATAAGGTTTTAAATGTCACAACTTCTAACACTAGGCCCAATAGTTTTATTTGATCCTGAGGATATTCCTATGAGATGGAGAAGAGAAGCGGGATTACCTCCAAATATTAGGATGGTGGTAAAGCTCAGAGATGACGCGCAACTTTGCCAGGATCTCCCAGAGGCCTATGGGTGAGCTGGAGGGAACCTTCCAAGCGTATGCAGTTAGAATGTCAAAGGAAGAGAATGCATGACTCTGAGGTTGTCCAGTGGGAACCAACAGCTTCCTAGGGGTTTCAATAAAGCCTGCAAAACCTAAAAATAACACCATAGGCACTTTATGGGGAAACAAGAACTCACCTGATAGGACAAACTGTGAAATTTGTTTCCAAACTGAAAAAGAAAACTCCAACACTGTTGCATGTGATTAATCCAGTGCTCTTGAGCCACACTGTCTACACTGAGTGCTGTTACTCCCTAGAGTCAGGCACTGTTTGCTGGCTTCCATCTTGCCTGGGTGGGACTGATAATAATCCCTTTATTTAATTACCAGGCTTCCAAATCAAGCCAGCTCTCCTGGAGTCTTAGTGTCTCCTCAGGAAGGAGACTGTAACCATTCAACATCAGCAATCCTCTATTCTAGACAACCCCAACTACCTGCTGTATTTTAATAAGGACATGTCTGTGTGCATCAGTCTGTGCCAGAGCTCGTGTTTCCTTCTCTGGGAATTCCTTTCCCCAGCAGGACATGCCTACTGTCTTTTCACATATAGCATGTCCATGTACTGAACACTAATGCACAAAGGGGTGGTGTGGCCTCCAAGAGTTGCATAACACATATTCTTTGTGTAAAAGCCATTTCTACTTATGCTTCAAAGCCCAGCTCAAATGCAACCTCTTCAAGATGCTGATCCAAGGAAGCACTTTCTCCCTCCGACACTGAGCATCATCTAACTTCTCCTGTGGAGTTGTGGAGCCCTAGCCATTACTGTGGGCCACTAGATGAAAGAACTCTAGAAAGAATATAATTCCTATATCTTAGCAAGAGACCAGGACACTGGGTTCTAGTTAAGTAGCCACTCCTTGTATCTCTTTACCTGTTAAGTCAGACAGTCTCAGCAGTCAGTAAGACTCTTTGACTTTGCATAGTCACTGTCCCTTCAAGCTACAGCCTACACAGTTGAATGATGAGACCAGTGGATAAAGGAAGCAGAAATACAGTGAGGCCCTGCCTCGTGGACACTAAGTCAATCTTTTATGGCCTGAGACACAGAGATCACCCCCCACCAAACCACCACCAAGTACACAGATGGGGATTGTACTCGGAGCCCCATTCTGTGTAGCCTCAGGCCTCGGGAACAGGTTGGGGAGAAGCAAGCACTCTAACTGTGTGTACAAGAAAGCCTGGCAGGACTCCAGAAAAGTCACACCCAAGTCAGCTACGAACAGCTTGTAAAACACACTACAGATCAAAAAACAAACTTGAGTCTCTTCAGGTCTTGCCTCTTGGTGCCAAAAGTGCAACTAGACCCTGCTGTGCCTGAAGGGAGTGAAGAACACGGAGGCTGAATTCCAATGGTGCTGGTGCGCTCCTGGGAGGTACTCTTCACTCTCAAACCCCCCCCCCCACACACACACATACCCACAGAGTAGGGGCCTGCAATGCCTTTTGAACCTGAGCTCACAATATGTACATGTTGTTGTTATCTGCCATCGAGTAGACTGACTCATAGTGACCCTATGCACGATAATAATTCTGAACCCTGTTCTATCCTGAGCAATCTCACTGTCTCTGACACACGTACTACCTTCATTACCCAAGTTACTGTGTCAATCTATCACATTTGAGGTCTTCGTTTCCTGCACTGACCCTCCACTTTTCCAAGCATGATACTGTTTTCCAAGGACTGGTCCCTTCTGGTAACATGTCCAAAGGATGTAAGACAGAGCCTCAAAATCCTTGCTTCCAGGAGCTCTGGTGGCCTAGTGGCAAGAAAATCCTTGCTTCCAATGAACAGCTTGCTTTCACCCTCTCCAGAATAGACCTGTTAGTTGTCTTCTCCAGCACCACAGCTCAAAAGCATCAATTCTTCTACTGTCATCTTTTGTCACTGTCCAGCTTTCCAAAATATAACAAGTAAACTGCGAAGAACATGTCATGGATCAGGCATACTTTAGTCTCCAGACTGATATCGTTGCTCCTCAACACTCTGGAGACGCCCCTGACAGCAGGCTTTTCTCATGCATCCCTCAATCATCAATCTTTTAACTCAAAGCCCGACTACCAGTTCAGCTTGAGAACTGGACCTAGGGCTTCCTGCCACAGCAAATGGAGAGACTAAATAAAAACCTTTCTAGGCAATTCCTTTATGAATGTCAAGATGAGGAAAAGAAATTCTGCCTCCCAGACCTGCCATCCATGTTTCCCTCAAGAACTTTAAAGTGTTCAACTTAGACCCTTTTCCCTCCTTTTCAAGCAGATAGGGCTCTCGCGAACTTGGTCAATGTTCCCAAAACTCGCCGGACTTTTTGCAAAAAGTGTGGAAAGCACCAGTCCCAAAAAGTGACACAGTACAAGGGCAAAGACTCTCTGTATGCCCAGGGAAAGTGGCGTTATGACAGGAAGAAGAGTGGCCATGATGGGCAGCCCAAGCCAATTTTTTGGAAAAAGGAGAAAACGACAAAAAAGATTGTGTTAAGACTCAAATGTGTTGAGCCAAACTGCAGATCTAAAAGAGTGCTGGCTATCAAAAGATGTAAGCACTTGGAACTGGGAGGAGATAAAAAGCGAAAGGTCAAGTGATGCAGTTCTAAGCTTCATCTTATTTTATCATGACAATAAACTGAGATTTTCACATTCATGTCATTTGGGAGGGAAATAAAATGTCCCTTTTAATCATTTAAAAAAAAAGTGTTCAACTTAAAGTTGAGCTTTGTGCCTAAATTTCAAGCGTTCCTCAGTCAAAGGATTCTTCTAATTCCTTTCCTTCCAAAGGGTCAACAAGTTGTTTTTTTTTTGTACAAGGCCAGACACAGTAAGTATTTTAGGTAAATTAACTACTCAACTCTGCCATTATGGGGGCATGAGCAGACACAGATTAAGCAAAGGACCATGGCTGTGCTCCAGGAAGATGTCATTTATGGACACTGACATTTGAATGTCCTGTCACTGTTCTGCCACAAGTTTTTATGGAACCATTCTTAGCTTGGAGGTCACATAAAAACAGGCAGCTAGCCAGATGTGGCCTGACGACTACTTTAACCACACCACAGTAACTCCTTGATTACTGTTCTTCCTTGTTAACCATTTTTGTCTTTCTAACACAGTGAAAAATATTTTTAAACAATTTTTTATACCTGTCAAGTATCTAACCCTCCTGTCTAGTTCAGATTGATAAAAATTCCCTTTTTCCCCTTGGGATAAGCACCTTCCTAGACATCAAGTATTTCTGATTTCTGCTAAGGTGTCTGTCTATTCTGAAACCCATTTTCTCCACCAGGAAGCCAGTATATGATCTAGGGCTGTCACAGTATCCTAGTTCTCACAATGATTGGTCTAGCAGAGGGCAGGCCCTCCAAGCAAAGCCAATCAGAGCCCATCTGTGTTTGGAGACCTGCTCTAGGATGACAGCACTAAAGGACACATTCTCCCAATAAAGACAACAGGAATGAGAAGGAAGCTCCCATGAGGATATGCAAAGCCCAGGGGTGACCCAGATTCATGCCTGCTAACACTCCTAGTGACTCACGCTCACACAATCCCACTTCTGATTAAGTAATCTTGAGCTGGCTTTCTGACACAATCAGAGAATCATGACTCATAAATTAGGCCACATCAGACTGCATTTGGAAGTTGGCAGGGTGGTGATGCATGTGAAAAAAATAATGGAGCAGGTTATGTTCCACCATCCATGATTAGAGTCACTTACAGATCTCTTTTCTCTGATAGAATCTAAGCTCCCGTCGAATGCTTAACTTTCTGAGCCATCTTTTATTGCCCTCCATAATGTTTCACACCTTGAAGCTTGTCCTCAGTAGATATTCAATGAATATGGATTACTTTTACAAATATGAATTCTTTTTCTGGGTTGGAAGAAGAGCATTTGAGAAGGAGGTTATGAATAAGCACAGAGGAGCACATACATCCACCTACTTTTGATGATCCACTTGAATGTCACCCTGATGTTTAGAGAAAACTTAACACTCCTCAAGTGGCCCCAGATGAAATAAACTCTCCTGACCAAAAGTCTACACAACACTTCATACCAGACTAAGGTGCACAGATCCACTTCCCCCTTTGAACACCTACAGGAAATAGGATATAGTACTCAGGGTCAGCACTGAGACTAATAGTGTACTAGGTCAAGGGGTAAAATTCAGAATAGCTGCTCAGAGCCTGGCGAACCGGGAATATAAGTTGTACTTATCCTGCCCAAGACGTCTTGCTCCATGGTGGCAAAGATAAACCACTTCAGGAATGAGAATGAGAATCTGCTGATGCCTAAGCTCTCATCTAGTATGGATATATTAGAACTTTAGGAGACCCAGTCACACACACACACAAATTAAGACTCTGCACCTTATTCTCACTCACTGCTGAAGCTGGAGCCCGCCTTAGCTAACCTTGCAGTGGGTTTTCAGAGGCTGGAAGCTGCACAGGAGATTGTTCATCCTTCTCCCGCTGAGTAGCTGGTGAATTTGAACCACCTGCCTTTGAGTTGGTAGGGAAAATCCTTACCCATTTAGGCCACCAGAACCCCCTTTGCAATTCACTGGGACCAAGAAATATATACTCAGCTAAAGGAGGCAAAACAAATGGGAAAAATTTAAAAAAGCTGCTTACTCATTTCCAAAAACAATATGAAAACAACTGTTATCTCCCCCAAATATATTATTGTACTTCTTCCTATTTGAAAAAGAATTTGGTTTTTAGGTTTTTTATTTTATATTGGTTTGCTTAAAGTTTGTATATATTGTTTTATAGAATCATTCCAATTCACCATTGCCCTGTATTTCCAGATCCACAACAGATCTTTTCCATTTTCTTTACCCACCCCTCCCCCTATGCATCAAATTGTGTCATCCTATGATCTCCTCCCTGCCTATCCTCATCCCTCTGCTCTCACCCTTTCCATGCTGGATTCTCATACACATTTACGAGTTATCTTTTCATTTCTAAAGTAATGATCTCATATAGTATTTAACCTTATGGGACTTAGTTAACTCAGCATAATGCTCTTCAGTCTCTCCCAAAGAGTAGTTTTTTAAATCATTGTTCCTCAGAGCTGCGTAGTATTCCACTGTGTGAATGTACCACAATTTTTCAATCCATTCAATTGTGGTTGGGCATTGAGGATGTTTCCACGTTCTTGTGATGGTGAATAACACTACTATGAATGCTGCGTATAAATCTATTTGTGTCTTGGTTGTAATTTTTTTCAGGGTATATTCCGAGCTGTGGAATAATTCAGTCATGTGGAATTTCTTGGGTGTTTTTTTCCAACGTGATACTAGGGATATTATAGCTAATGTTAGATGGATCTTAGCTGAAAACAGAAAATACCAAAGGTATGTCTATCTGTGTTTCACTGACTATGCAAAGGCATTTGACTGCATGGGTCACAACAAACTGTGGAGGACTCTGAGAAGAATGGGAATCCAAGAATATTTGACTGTGCTTATGTGAAACCTATACTTGGACCAGGAGGCAGTCATCAGAACAGAGTAAGGAAATACTGCATTGTTCAAAATCAGGAAGGTTGTATACCAGGGATATATCCTATCTCCATACTTTTCAATCTATATGCGGAACAGATCATCTGCGAGGCTGGGCTCTATGAGGAGGAGCAAAACATCAGGATTGGAGGAAGAATCAGTATTATGCAGATGACACGACCCTGCTTGAGGAAACTGAGGAGGACCTGAAGCACTTGCTACAGGTCAAGGACTGTAGCCTTCAACATAGAATGAAGCTCAACATCAAGAAAATGAAGGTTCTCACCACTTGGCCGATTGGTACCATCATTATGGTTGGTAAAGAGACTGAGATTGTTAACAGCTTTAGTTTGTTTGGCTCCACAATCAACACACTTGGTACAAGCAGCCAGGAAATCAAAATATGAATTGCATAGGCAAAGTCTGCTGTCAGGGACCTCTCCAGAGTACTGAAAAGCCAATTACATCAGTCTGGAGACCAAGGTGCACCTGGTCCAGGCCATGGTTTTCACAATTACTTGCTATGTATCAGAAAGCTAGACAATAACTAGGGATGAGAGAAAGAGAATCAATGACTTTGAGCTGTGGTTCTGGAGAAGAGTACTGAACAGACTTCCAGAAGAACAAACAGGTTCATCCTAGAGAGGGTGAAACCAGGCTGGTCTTCGGAGGCAAGAATTCTGAGGCTTTGTGTGACATACTTTGGGCATGTTGCATTGGAGGAATCAGTCACTGGACAGGGACATCATGCTTGGAAGGGTGGAGCACAAGAGAGGAAGACCCTTGATGAAACGGATTCAATGACTGGGGTAATAAGGGTAGGTGTGTCAGAGACAATAAGGTTGGCACAGGATAGAGCAAGTTTGAGGGCTATTGTACATAGAGTCACAAGCAACCCAACAGCACATAACAACAAAGTGATTTTAACAAAAGCTTACAGAGAAGCTCATTCATTCATTGTTGTTTCCGCCACACCCATGTTTATTGCTGCTTTATTCATAATAGCAAAGAGCTGGAAAACAACCCAAGTGCCCATCAACAAACAAATGGATAGAGAAGCTGTAGTATATTCACACAATGGAATACTATGCTGCATTGAAAAACAAAGAATTCATGAATTATACAAAATGGATGACTATGGAGGATATTATGCTGAGTGAAATATCTCAGTCATAAAAGGACAAATACTGCATAGTGCCACTGTTGTAAAATGGGACTGACACTGGTGCTGGGGAGAACCTAAGAAAAGAGAGGATAAATAATGTATACTGCATTGAAACAGATGAGAGAGAGAACTGTCTAAAAATAATATAGGATTAGGTATTATTTTCATGACAAGATTATAGAAAAAGAAATGCACAGTAAAGTGGACTATACTTGGGATTGTATAACAATGAAAGAATTTTTTTTTATTTCAAAGAGAAAAATGAACTGGGGGAAAGGGTGGGAAGGGAGAAAAACGTGCAACAATGAATGAATGGGGGAAATGGAAAGAATATACTCTAAAAATATATATATATATTGCATTAAAAATCATTAATAAAAAAATTCATTTATTGATGTATAATTTCCTCCCTCTCCCAGTCCACTTTGCTATGCACCTCTTATTGTGGACCGTTTTCATACAAATAATGCCTAGTCACCTATGTTCAGCTTTTTGAGAAAATGCCAAACTGCCTTCCAGAGTGGTTGTACCATTTTACAACCCCACCAACAGTGTATGAGAGTTCCTATATCTCATATATTATTTGACCTTATGGGACTCTATCTCCACGTCCTCTCCAACATGTATTGCTTGCTGTGCTGTTAAACTTTACCACTGCTACTGGGGTGAGGCGGTATCTCATTGTGGTTTTGATTTGCATTTCTCTGATTGCCAGTGATTTTGAGCATTTCTTCATGTGTCTGTTGGCTATCACCCAAATGTCCTCTGTGAAATGTCTTTCCACATCTTTTGCCCATTTTGTAACTGGGTTATCAGTCTGTTTCTTGTGGAGGCCCTGGAGGATTCTCTAAACTTCTGTTATGAGACCCCGGTCTCAGATGGTACTGCCAAACATTTTTCCCAGTCTTCTTTCACCCTGTTTT